TAAAAAAAAAAAAAAAAAAAAAAAAAAAAAAAAAAAAAAAAAAAATTTATTTATTTATTTATTTATTTATTTATTTATTTATTTTATTTATTTATTTATTTATTTTATTTATTTATTTTATTTATTTATTTATTTACCTTGTACTATATTTACATCAACAATTTTGCCTAATAAATCTCCGCATAGACAACTCCATGGTAAGGATTTATTTATATAAATATTATTATTATTATTATTATTATTATTATTATTATTCTTTTTTTTTTTATTAATTATTTTTTTTATATATAAAAAAGAATAATAAATAAAAGAATAAAAAGAATAATATATAAATATATATATTGTATTAAATAATGAATAAATAGGGACAGATAAAAAAGAACAAGAAAAACAAGAAGAACTAGAAGAAGAAGAAGGATCAGGAGAATTAGGGGAATCAGCTGCTGCTGCTGTTGCTGCTGCTGCTGCTGCTGCTGCTGCAGGAGCAGCAGCAGCAGAAGAAGAAGAAGAAGAAGAATAAATAATTATATCCTCCTCCTCTGCATATCCATACAGAGCCATCCTCTCAGGTATTGCTCGTACACGGGCAATAGTAAAATTTATTAAGGATTCTGTATACATACACAAATAAATAAATAAATAAATAAGTAAATAAATAAATAAATAAATAAATAAAATAAATAAATTAATTAATCAGCAGCAGCAGCAGCAGCAGCAGCAGCAGCAATTATTTACCATAGACACTTAATCTAATAGATTGCGCTAGGGCAAAAGAAGCAGCAAGTTTCTCCGCAAGAGAATGCGTCTATACAAGAAAAAAAAAAAGAAAAAAAGGAGAAAAAAAAAAGAATAAAAAAAGAATAAAAAAGAATAAAAAGAAAAAAAGATAAAACAATAAAATAAAAAATTAATTAAAATAAAAATAATCTTTTTTCCTTGAGAAAACCCTAAACCCTAAACCCTAAACCCTAAACCCTAAACCCTAATAAGCCGTAATAACAACGGGGAGGAAACCCTACACCGTACTCAACCACAAACCCTAATATATGCTAAACCCTTGTAAACCCTAAACCCTCGTAAACCCTAAACCCTCACCTTGAGGTAAATGCAGTCCTGAAGGATCCTTGACTTGGGCACCTGTAAGAAATTTAACCCTCAAAACCTAAACCCTCGTAAACCCTAAACCCTAAACCCTTCTAAACCCTTCTAAACCCTAAACCCTCCTAAACCCTAAACCCTAAACCCTAAACCCTCGTGTATACTTACTTCATAGGTAGGATACATTCTTCGTACTTGGCTAATATAAGCAAAACGCATGACGTCTTCTTGTACCATATCTGCTCTTACAAATCGAGCTGAACCACACAAACCCTAAACCCTAAACCCTAAACCCTAATTTATAAACACTAATTTATAAATATTAATTTATAAACCCTAATGTATAGACCCTAATTGATAAACCCTAAGGGATAAAGGGGAAACTTTATAAGAGAGAGGGAAGCTGCAGCTTAAACCATATATTTACGTTTTAGGGTTTAGGGTTTAGGGTTTAGGGTTTAGGGTTTACAAGCAAAATGACTAAGAAAAAAAAGTAGACTAGATAATAATTCTCTACTTTGTCTTTTATCTTTTGCTCTTTTATCTGCTGCTGCTATCCACATGACCACTGGTCCTTTCTCAAAGATAAAGGCAATAGTTTTATTTGCTGCATCTAGCTGCTGCTGCTGCTGCTGCTTCCCTTGCAGCAGCAGCAAACGTAAACCACGACGTAACGAACGATTTCCTGCTGCTGCTGCAACATCCATCTCTGATGAAGTATAATGTAGTCCACTACCTTCAGATTGTGCTGCTGCTGCATTTGCTGCTGCTGCTGCATTTGCTGCTGCAGCTGCATTTGCTGCTGCAGCTGCATTTGCTGCTGCTGCTGCTGCATTTGCTGCTGCTGCACTTGCTGCTGCTGATGCAGGAGATGATGCTGCTGATGATCCTCTTATACTATTATCTATTCCTTCCTCATAACCACCACCACCATAAACACTATATACACCACCATCACCATCACCATCACCATCAGCAGCAGCAGCAGCAGCAGCAGCAGCAGCAGCAGCAGTAGCACCATCAGCAACAGCAGGAGCAGCAGGACCTTGTGCAGGTGCTGCTGCATGTCTACTAGTATCATGATCACCGCAATTCCAATTATAATTATAATTATAATTATTATTATTATAATTATTATAATTAATATAATTATAATTATAATTATTATTATAATTAAATGAATAATGTAGTGTATATAGAGGAGAAGCAGCAGATTTAATTCCTAATGAATAAACACTTAATCGGCTATGAGGGTTACATGTTGCCTCAAATGCTTCTTGGCTTCTTATCTGTACATATATATATATACATATATAAATAAATAAATAAATATATTTATTTATTTATTTATTTTATTTTATTTATTTATTTTATTTTATTTTATTTTATTTTATTTATTTTATCTATTTTTAGTGTAAAAAGACAAAAAAATACACACAAATAGCTGTACATATATTATATGGATATATTTATGTCTGTATATATATATA